TCCAAGGAATTTGCACAGACTTTCTGATGTCAACCTACTTTGGCTGGAGTGAGCACAGACTCATTTTAAACTGTCAGGTCTAGCTGGATATACCGTACATCAAGATTTCTACTCTCATTGTGTACAAGGGTCTGCCACAGAGCTCTCACCGAATTGTTTTCTATGGAAAACGTGAGCAGCAATGATCACAAACCCTTCGGCAAGTCGTGGATGATAAAATAAGTGACGCATATGTGTAGCAGCTGTCAATGGGCATTGCATGTGCTCTGCTTTGTGACCACTAAATTTATCTCTGGAACCCAACAAGATGGGCCCCATGATGAACTCTGTTTGTCTTGATGATACTCTCATTTTTTTTCCATGTCCTTGGTCATAAATCAAGCAATAAAATCAGTTTACTGTAAAGAAATCTGAATGCAAATGAAGATAGCAAGCCCGGAAGATACATCCTTAGAAGACCTTATACTGGAGTTTATTGAACACATTCTAAAATGGCTTGATTATTGATCCATGTAAATATGCAGTTACTGCAGTAAAGAAGGCATTCTTCCCTTTCTGAAACCAATCAACAAATGTCATATTTGTATTTATTGTCTCTGATAAAGCCAAAGCATCTTACAGATAGATGTTCATAAAAGACAGCATAGAGTTAAAAAGCTAATGTAATATTTCACCATACCATAGCAAACTGAAAACCAGCAACAGAAAGAAGAGGGTACATGATTTAATAATAAAGCTACATGTAGAAGTAATATATTCTTAATCTGCCCAGCGAGTCACCCCAAGCTCTGACATAACGTTGCACAAATCACATGTCCTGTGTTATTCAAGTGGCATATATGCTCCTTAGGCTCATAGAAAATCAGGCATCTGCACATACACAAAATGTCACATGCTGTAATATCCCAATATCCTGATGGCCCATGCTGAGTTATTAATATTTATAGCTACAAAGCACTATATTTGTAGTAAACAACTGGAAAGTTCAGACCTTGACAAAATCATTCTAGAAATGTAAATTCCTCAGAAGGGGTTTCTTAAAAGACTTAACCATTCAAGGAGCAGAAAACAGCCCCTTGAGACGTTCCATGCTGTTACATTTCATGCATTCTTAAAGGCTAAGTCCACCTTTTGTCAAAAAAAATATTAATAATAGTAATAATAAATGCACATATATTTGCAAGAAAAAGGTACATTTATTCTTTTTTCCATAGGAGCCTGCAAAACATCACACCTGCAATCAGTAGATCATGGGTGCAATTCCAGGCTCCTGCAAATTATTCCTCCAGGTCTATGTCTCTAGAGAGGTACAGACTTCCAGTAAAGAAAATCGCACAAAAATGTCTGTACAAGGAACGATCTGTGCATGATCTGTTTGTTAGTATAGTGCAGGGGTGCCCAACCACTGGCCTGCGGGCCACATATGGCTTGCGAAGCCCTCTAATGTGGCCCACAACCTCCTGCTCTGGGATGGTGGGTGGGCAAGCCCAGATCGCGTGATCCTGACCTGCCATACCAGAGTGTTGATAATGGAGCCAGTGGTGGAGTACTGGCTGCAGTAGAGCGCAGAGCCAATGCTTCCTGCATAGCACTGGCTCCAAATGAACCTGCCTGGGACAGCAACAGCTAGCGATACTTGCAGGGTGATTCCTGAAGTGAAGATTGTGTTTAAAGGTAATTTTTCAAATTAAAATCACATAGCAATGGGCATATCTATTCTAGTTCTGCACTGGTTACTCTGGACTGCTTTCAAACCTGCACTGAGCCATAGACTTCTGTTATTACCTTTGGTGTACTTTCTGAAAATGCACCAAAATGCTCGAATGCAGGAGTTTTGGTGCAATTTCAGAAAGTGCACCACACCTGCAGGATATAATAGAATTATATGGCAAAGAACAGTTAACCCACAGGTAAGTCACAGGTGCACTATGCTGCAGTGTTGGTAACCCTCAGCAAATCAAGGTGAAAGCAACCTTAGGCCCCTTTCACATGATCGGTCCGATCGGGTCCGCCTGTCCGTTTTTACAGTGGACCCAATTGGACCCTTCATTCACCCGCCTACCTCCAATCCGATCCGCTACAAAAAACAGAAGGGGATTCATTCCCTTCTGTATGAGCAGATCAGATCAGATCGAAGGGCCCACAGAGTACACCAGGTTGTGTCCGTGTCCACTCTGCAAATGCAGAGTAGACACAGACCTTTCATCTGCCCGCTCTGCTCATTGTGGCCCACGACCGGTTACCAAGTCTCTTAAGTGGCCCTCACTCTCCAAAAGGATGGGCACATCTGGTATAGTGCTTTCAGCAGCCGATTCTGACTGGACAAAAAAAACGAAGGTGCAAGCTAGAAAATTTTTATCGAACGTGAACACAGTGTCCAATTTTCGCTCAATGTTTACAGTAATCGTGTGGAAATAATCAAATAGAAAACAATGTGCATGATCAGAAGCAAAGAACGATCTGGAACAAATTACAACCATTCTCAACTACATCATGATAAGTACCTTAATGGAAAATAGGACAATTTTTAATTCGATTTTCTGATAGTGTGTACCAGACTTTAGAGAGCTGGAGGAGAAGTCAATGGACTACAAGTGCAGTGATTACCGCATCGGTGTTCCACTGAGAACTACAAGTCTATCTGCTCTATTGATGTACAGCTCTCTGAAAGAATGACATGGCTATGCGGAGTCCCACACAGTGACATAGATTTCAAAAGTAGCAGGTGCTGTTGGACAGAAGAAGAACCCCACACAAATGTAACATGTAGCAAAAGATGGAGTTAGTCTTTAAAATAGAGGCTAGTAAAACTATTAACATATTGCTAAGTAGATAATCCCATATGCATACAAAAATGTAGATACTTTACACTGGACCATATTTGGATTTGCTGTACCTTCAAATGAATATGGAGAAAGCGTACCATCTTTGCACTGCTTCAGTTTTCACCCAGCATTGCTGCAATACACCAGTCCACATCATTGTCTTTTGTAAGTAACTTGGGAACCTCTTTTGATAAAACCTATTCGTGATACTGAACAGACATTCCCAAACACACCCACTGAACGTTCGGTGGTATTTCTCCCATGCTTAAAACCATCAAAGGTTCAGATCTATGACACTTTGATGTCACCAGTCAGGTTCAAACCTGCCATGGAAATCTGAATATAACTGGTGACAAACCAAGCAGAAACAGATGAGCTCACACAGCATTCAGGAAGGCTTCAGGAGGTAAACGAACCATGTGAAATGTAGGAAACTTCATGAATTAGGGCTGCAATGGATTACATGATACATGTTAAGGTGTGATTGCAGGAAGGACTTTCTGCTATGGTGGTCAGGCTAGTAGATATCATCCATTCAATGACCAATTTAATTTGCTGCCTTAAATTTCTATATTAAACGAACCTGTGGAAAATAATTACATAGTAAAGTAAATTGTATGGTGGATTGCTGTCAGCCCATACTTTTGTTTCTTCTATTCCTTCACAGCTTACAGCCCCCTCCATACTGTCTCTTATTCTTCATAGTGGGAATAGACATGGAGCCTACAGGCAATTTTGAGAAAGTCAGTATTTGCATAACTGCTGGCGGAGCACTCTGAAATGACAGATCCTACAAACTGAAAGGTATTTTCAGACAGCTGATGTTAGTTACGTTACTTTACTAGTTTAATATTTCCTCAGCAAGTTGAAGAAAGGCTGCCTGCATCCTAATTTATTGGGATTTCTAACTAGATGTATTTCAGCACTGCACAAACTACACATTTTAAACTATGGAGCTCAACCATATATGGCGGAGTCTTTGAAAGAACCTTACTGAAATAATACACTCCAGAGTTCAGTTCACATGTTTTAGACATTACTGTGGAAGGAAGTGAGAGGAAATCTCCCCTTAGAAGGCTATAGGCAGCAACAAAAGAACAACAAAAGATCTAACCCTCCCACTTTTTATCCAAAACAAAGTTTGGGCTGAAAGGTCACTGACCATAGAAGGCTCATACCTTGGCCGATTCAGCCATGAACTGGATGCAATTTGAGCCATAGGCGGCCCTGTTGGCTCCACCCTGCTGTCCAAAAGTTGATTTTTCAAGTGACTTTTGTCAAAAGGAACCAGGTGGCAAGTTTTTGGTTGCGTGCTGATTACATCCAATCAGATGCAGTCACTGTTTAGATATTCTGAGTGATTTCTCCACCTATATGGTTTAGCATGGATGGAGGAATCAATCAGAATTCTCTTGTTCAGCCCACAGGCTGAACTAAGGAAATATATATGTGTGTATGGCTAGCTTTAGCCTCTGTTCACCCCGGGTGCGACTTGTCATGCGACCTTACAGATCAAAGAGGTGACAGCACTGCAGTTGTAACCACCTGGACTACCAAAGGCTGCATGCAATTTTATGCAGTTTTCTTTCCTTCAACTAGTCAGTGTTGATGGGGGAATCCCTCCCACTGTGCTATTGTACTCTGACAGCAGAAAGTTTCCCCCGCTGTCAGAATTCAATGATTACTGCTGCTGGCTATAGCCGACAGCAGTAATTTTACCAAAAGAAGACTGATTGTTATATTGATTGATATATCAGCTTCAGTACAGTCAGCCTGCCCATAGATGGATCAAAATTTGGCCAGTTCCGCCTAAGTGTGTGAGGACATAGAGAGTGGGTGGTTGATCAATGTTCTCACCATGATGGCCTGCCTCCGTGGAATGACCTGTAAGCGTTGCTTATCCTGCCCACCCTCTCCTTCTCAATCTACTTATAAAGTGGTTCTTCTGACCATTATGCAGACAAATAAAACAATGAGGACTATGCTCATTACCATAGCTGAGTATATGTAAACGTTGTCAGGTATCTGCACTTCAAGCTGGCTCCACTAAGATGTTTAATTGGTTCAGAGCTCTGGAGACTTTAAATTGCTCTGATATAGACACATTTCTAGTACCTATGCTCTGTGCCTGCAGACATTTCTGACCCAAATACACAAACACACAAGCATACTTACAATCTGGAAGTCATGCACTTCAATGGCTTCATCACTACCAGAGCCGGTCTTGAATGTTTCTAGATTATTCCCTGCATCAATTTCCATTGACCCTTCTTGTATTTTGCCATTGATGCTCATGGTGTAGTGGACGTTGTAAACCTGAACAAGAGATCAAAACAATCTTTTTTATAACGATTATAATTTACACTAACAAACCTCAAAATTGTTAGACCTCACTTACATGTCCATACTAAAATATATACTCTGGTTTCAGTATGCTACTTTTAAAGAGTGACTCCACTGTTGCTGAGAAAAAGCAATATATCCCGTGGGTGATCCATGAGCATTGCACAATTTTAACAAACTTTGTTGCAGATTCCTACCTGTTTCTGCTCTGCAAAAAAGCAGTTTGTTGCCTGCAGAGTGAATCTGAATGGGAGTGACTTTTTCATCATTGCTCAGCTGATGCAATCGCAGTGTTCTAATGAAGAAAATGCAAGGTCTGCATCTCTGTAGAAGTGATTAACCCTTTGGGAGTATCTCATCAAAAATGAGGAAGCCTAGAATCTGACTTGTATCTTAGTGCAGACTTCTGGGAAAATCAGTGAGCCAGTTACACAAGCAGGAAATTACATTTCTGGGGATGTTCAGTGCATGGACGCCTTGAGCTTGCCATATTTCTTTAAATTTTGCAGAAAATTAGATTGAATAGGAAAGGTAATTTGTAATAACATGCAATGACAATATGGCTTGTATAGCAATTGTATATGCATTTGTATTTTTTTTTTGCTTTTTTTTTTTTCCCACAAAAGCGAAGTTACCTTGTAAACTTGCTCTGTGGTGTTTTTTTTTATCTGGAGATGAGTGTTTTTAATATGCATTTTCTGCATACAGTTTCTGCTGGAGTGTCTTTGGCTTATATTCAGTTTCTGTGCGTCTGTGCTCTGTATATGTGAAGAACATTTTACACATGGGACCATTCATCCTTAAATCAGAGCTCCACCCAAAAGGAGAAGCTCCACTTGTCTGCCTCCTACCCCCTTACATTGCCACATTGGGCACTTTTTTTTGGGGTGGGGGGGTGGGAGCAGGTACCTGGTTTTGACAGGTTCCCACTCCTACCTCCGGCTCCCCTCCTTCCACCCGCAGTCTTCTGGGACACTTCAGAGGTCCCTGAAGACTGCGGGACCAATCTCAAGCCGCAGTGCGACTCACGCATGTGTAGTAGGAAACTGGCTGTGAAGCCGTGAGGCAATGCCGGTGCTGGGAACCCAGAGGCTAGTGCAGAACTAGCCAGGTGATGATGGCGTTGGACCTCTGGATAGGTAAGTGTCCTTATATTAAAAGTCAGCCGCTACAGTATGTAGCTCCTGACTTTTAATTTTTTGGTGGAGCATGGGACTCCTCTTTAGGCTGCAGAATATGTTGCAGTTTTGGGCAGCACATTCCAGCGTACAAAATGGTGCAGGGTATACAACTACATGGAAGTTTAAAAAAAAATTAAAACCAAACAAACAAGAACTGCAATGCATTTTAACAACGCATTATAGTGTACTGCAGCACAAATTGCACACACGTTATGCGCAAAGCAATGTTCACTATGTAGTGTTAATGAGCCTTTAGTGACCACTTCTTTCATGTATAACCCACCATCATGTGTAATAATAAAGTAACTGTATGCTGATGACATCAGAACGTCTAGTGATTCTTGCTTACTGGTGTTGTAGGTCTACCTAGAATGCATTGTAAACCATTGCAAAAATATACATACAGTACAAATGACAGCATTGTCCATAGAAAACTGTATTTAAGCGAAATAAAAGCAAAAGGTGTTTGAAAAAAGATGAAGAGAGGAAGAAGGAAATTTATGTAAACTGTGATTTGCTAGAAAAAGTACATTCAGACAAATTGAATTTTAAAAGAGTAGAGCGAGGTGAAAAGGTGTTTACTTTGCATCTAATACGGAAAAAAAGTGTAAGAACTGCTCACGACTCTAACTTCTGTTGTATTTGGAACATGCCTGCTGTACAAAATATTTATTCTCATGAAACATGGCTCTGACTCACTTGTTCTGGCTGAAAAATATGTTTATCAAATCATTACATGAACTGTGTTGGGAATATAGATAATATCAATGTATCCTGCATTTTCACATATATAACACCCTAAAATGGCACTTTAATCTATGGGTTACATCTGTAGGTAAGAATTAACCCAAAACAAGCCATTCTGAGTGAAAATCAATGTTTGCAGAAACAAAAATCCAGAACAATAATGTCAGGTTCACACCTAACCACTGAGGTGTAGAGCATGCACTTTTTTTTCTACACATTTATGTTCGTTGCCTAAAGCTGCCTTTTTTCAACCAAGAGGTTGAATTGAAAAACTGACCCGAGTCCCCTTAGTGAGCCTGCAGACTGTTGCACCACCACTAGCCAGCAATGAACCGCCAGCCAGAGGCAAACAAGGCATTTACCCAGGGCGGCATTTTTTAGGGGGGCAGCACTGCCCCCCAGAAGAAGGGACATATGTGACATGGGGACCAGGTGGGATCCCAGAGAGGCTGCGGGCTGCTTGATGGTGTATGCAGAGCCTGGCTGTGGTTCCAGGGGATGCCCAGAGCTGTGAAGGTGGGTGTAAGGCTACGTTCACACTAGCCTTGTGTGCAGGGGGCAGAGAGGCGTTTGGGAAGCGTTTTTACCGCTTCCCAAACGCCTCTGCCAATTCTGCACATTACAGCACATGGTGCTGTTCTAACGGGAGCGTTTGCGTCGCGGCAAAACGGACACCTCTGGTCGAGTCAGGAGGCTTTGAAGCCTCCTATTCTCGTCTATGGTGCTGCTCCGCAAACGCCCAGCCGGCGTTTGCGGTGCGGTTGCGACGCGTTTGCGGGGCGTTTGCGGAGCGGTAACACCACTCAACTGTATTATAGGCGTTTGTGGGGCGGTAAACACCTAGCAACCGCCACTAAACCGCGCATGTGGCATTTGCGGAGCGTTTGCCGAGCGTTAAAAAATGCTCTGCAAACGCCGGACCAACGCTTGCCAAATGCTATAGGGGCGTTTGGCAAGCGTTGGTAAAACAGCCAAGTGTGAACGAGCCCTTAGTGGAAGGCTATCTCGGGTGGGAGATGGGGCAGGGGTGTTGTTGGTCACTGCCAGGCTCATGCTCCGCAGGGGGGAGGGGGTCTGGTGTTGGTGCCAGGCTTTCTCTCTGCTGGGGAGGGGAGACAGATTTTTGTGTAGCCTAGGGCAGCACAAAACCTAAATACACCACTGCCACCAGCAACCAGGCCCGGATCTAGGGGAGTTTTAGGGTGGGCTATGCCCCCTCCAGATTTTAGTTGTACCCCCTCCCAGATTTCTAAGTGTGCATCAAACTGATCAATGGGACTTGATTGAGACAATTGATGTGAAGGGGCACTATGATGGGGACAATTGATGTAAGGGGGCACTTTGAGGGGAGGAATTAATTTAAGGGTGCGCTCTGAAATGGACCTTTTATGTAAGGGGCACTCTGATGAGAACACCTGATGTAAAGGGAGGACAATTATAGGAACCTCAATGTAAGATGGAACTCTTGAGGATGAATCCTGATGTAAGCAGGGACTCTGGTAAGAACAACTGATATAAGGGGGCAGAGGTTTTATATAATCATCCTAATACAATTTAGTGTTCTCTGTTTACTACTGCGCCTCCTCTGTACTATCTGTCACAACTAAAGGAGACGTGTGTTTATGGAAAAGGTAGCGTTGACCTGTATTACTTCGTCCATAGACAGCATCCCATCATGGATGCATGGAGGGAATTCTCTAATCCCAACTATTATATGTGAATGCTTCTGAGTGGTTTATAAAAGCATTATAGATAGTTCCTTATATCATGTATATTTTTATAACCTATATACAGTAGTTTGTAATCGTTTAAGCTTTCAGAAAGGTATATGCTTTTATTTTATACCTAGTAGTTTTGTATGTGATGCATACTTGGTATCATCTGCCATTTTATTTATGTTTAATGCAAATTCAGTGCTGTGCTACTAATATACCACAGAATAAAAAAGAACAAAAGTCTCCACATGAATGTCCAAATAAGGCTCCGTTCACACCTATGCAGTTTGCTTTTTGTCCATTTGGAGTGCTTTTCTCAGTTCATTTTGCGTTTTTCTACATGTGTTTTTGGTGCATGTTTGGCGTGTTTTTACCGCGTCTTGTTCAGCTCTTTTTTTTTTGTTAATGTGGAATTTTTTTTGCAAATGCAAAAAGTGGCAAAAAGCACTACCATGCGTTTCAGCAGCTTCTTCATTGAACTCTATTGTAGCAAGAATGCTGGTTTTTGCTTTAAAAACAAGTCCCTGACACTTTCCAAACAAGCAGCAGCCCAAAAAAGCATAGATGTGAACATGTTCCATAGGAAACCATGTTAAATGGACTATAGCACATTTCTGCAAAAAGCAAAAAACTCAATCTTCAATATAGCCACCACACTCCTGGCCCCTCTTCCCCAGAAGACATCAACTATGACAAAATGCGTAGGTAGGAGCCTGTTTTGATGTCATCACAGTCTACAGGAAGTGCGGAATTTCAGTGAGTTCAGGGATTTTATGCAGAATTTCTGTGAGTTCAGAGATTTTATGCAGAGCTTCTTACTTTGCTTTGCCTGTAAGAGCAATTTTTAATAAAAGTCAATCAGTTTTCACACTATGTGGAGATTGGGACTTTCTCTTTTTTTGGTATCATGAACAGGAGGTGAGACCTTTCATGATATCGCCCCCAGCAGGAGGATTATCTTTACAGCAGGAGGCATTTGGAGGCCGGGAGTGTGGATCTGCATGCAATCCCAGTGCGCTATATGACTCTTTAAATCAGGGGTATTGAATTAAAATTCAAGGAGGCCCAGTCACTAAAATTTTCTTCTGGCTGAGGTCCAAATAGGGAGTGCCCATCAGCGTGCCCCCTTACATTACGTGTTGCCATCAGAGTGCAACTTTACATCATGTATTCCCATCACATCAGGTGTGCCCATCAGAGTACCCCTTTACGTCAGGTATCCCCATCACGTTGCCACCTTACATCAGGTATTCCTGTCAGAGTGCCCCCTTACACTCAAAGTACCACTTTCTATCATATTTCCCCATCAGAGTGCCCCTTTACATCATATTCCCCATCAGAGTGCCCCTTTCCATCACATGTGCCCATCAGAGTGCTTTTTTCCACAGTATGTGCCCATTTGTTCCTTTAACATAAAATGGGCCTGTCAGAGTGCCCCTTAACATAAAATATGCCGATCAGTGTCCCTTAACATAAAATAAGGGGCATGCTGATGGGCACATTTTATGTTAAGGGGCACTCTGATGGGCACATTTATATTAAGGGGCACTCTGATGGATACATTTTATGTTAAGGAGCACTCGGATTGGCACATTCTTTGTTAAGGGGCACTCTGATGGGCACATTCTATGTTAAGGGGCACTTTGATGGGCACATTCTATGTTAAGGGGCACTCTGACGGGCACATTCTATGTTAAGGGGCACTCTGATGGGCACATTCTATGTTAAGGGGCACTCTGATGGGCACATTCTATGTTAAGGGGCACATTGATGAGCACATTCTATGTTAAGGGGCACTCTGATAGGTACATTCTATGTTGTGCCCATCAGAGTGCCCCTTAACATTCAATGTGCCCATCAGAGTGCCCCTGTAAGACTACACCCTACCTTGAGGGCAGACAGGAGCTGTGCTGGGATCCTTGCTGGATGCTTGTGTACAGGCAGAGAGCGGGAGCCAGAGAGACAGCGAACTGAAAGGGGAGAGGCGCACACGTGATGTCATGTTGCCGTGACGAACGCCCTGCTCTGTGGCGGATCTGTCTTGTTGGCTGGCGGTCCGGGTGGCAGCGCTGCTGGGGCCGTTCGTGGACCGCCATTTAGTGACCGTTGCTTTAAACACAGAGTCATATTTATTTGGTTAGCAGATGGTGACTATATATAAGATTGAAGTCTTCTCCTGAAACACCTTTATTTGGTCTTTAACTTGGACACTTTGTTTTTTTTTCTTTTCTATTGTGTGGTATATTTGTAGCACAGCACTGAATTTGCATATATAGTTTGCTGTGAAAAAAGATATCATAGTGTTCTAGCAGCTCATGATTATTGTTGTTTCCACGAGTGTGGTTACTGGTTTGGTTATTATTATCTTTGGTTAAGTTGGAGCCATGTCATTATTTTCTAGCATTGTGGTACCCCAGGCACAAGGACCCTGTTAATAAAGGGAGAGCATAAGCAGGGGTTAGTACCTCTTTTAGTGAGGTCCCTCCCCTAGGCGGATCTGATGGGTGGAGTTGGGCACCCCTATATATTCTGGAGTGGGAGGAATCTGGAGAGAGGAGTAATGGAAACAAGCTACCCCTGATATATGCTATGTAAGTTTGTAGCTTGTGAGAGAGAATGCACTTCAGGGTAGGCCATGGGGAGGAGAAACCCACCTACGGGGGGGACCTGTGTTGAGGAGTTTATATGTAATTACACTGTGGTGAAATTTGATGCTGAACGCAAAATGATTCTAAAGGCGTATTTTTTTCTTTTTAAATAACAAACATGTCTTTACTTAAGTGCAGTGGTTTTGCACAGAGAAGCCCGGACCCTCCTCTTCTTGGGTCCCTTGCCAGCGCTCCTTGCCCCTCCCTCCTCTCTATGGGGGCACCGGCTCCTCAGTGTGTTCAATCAACACACAGAGCCACGGCCTGACCCCACCCTCTCTCTCTTCTCATTGGCTCACTGGCTGTGATTGACAGCAGTGGAGGCTAATGGCTCCTGCTTCTGTGTTAGGCAATGAGGAGAGGGAGTCCTGGGATAGGTGAGACTCCAGTGCACATTGCTGGATCGAGGGGGGGGGGGGAGTATTGGGGGGGATGATGCACAGAGAAAGTGCATAAAATGAATGAAGGTAAAAAACCTTGAGCCTTTAGAACCACTTTAAGCTGTAAAGGTGAAGTACAGATCTTCTGTTGTGTTACTGCTACAGTAGAATATTGTTAAAAGGCTGTAAATGTAGACAACCCTTTCTTACGAAGGTGAGCCTCAGGCAGAGGCGTCCCTAGAGTTGGTGTCACCTGATGCGATAATACTTGGTGACTGGATAAATGGATCAGACTCCGATCCATTATGCTCAATCCGCAGATCCACTCCATCCTGAGGGGATCGTCGGCGTAATTTCCAACTCACCTTTTCGTGGAGCAAGTCCGGTGTCACCACATATAGGTTGCATGCCGACAATCCCCGCAGGATGGTTCGGATTTGCGAATTGGGGAGCATAATGGATCGGAGTCTGATCCATTGTGCTCCCCAATCCTCACATCCCATCCATCCTGCGGGGATCGTCGGCATGCAACCTATATGTGGTGACACCGGACCCGCTCCACGAAAAGGTAAGTTGTAAAGAAAGCCGACGATCCCCGCAGGATGGATCGGATCCATCCTGCAGGGATCGTCTGCTTTCTTTACAACTTGCTTTTTCTTGGAGCGGGTTCGGCGTCACCCCGTGCGGTTGGTGTCACCCGGTGCGGTGCGCACCCCCCGCACCTGCCTCGGGACACCACTGGCCTCAGGACAGGCGTATAAGAGTAAGTAAGATGGCGGAGTTTTTCCCTGTACAGGTGTGTGTACCCTAACTCATATCTGAAGGAGATTGGAGAATACCTTGGCCAGTTTGGCAGAAGCTGCTGGAAAATCAGGGCTGCTTACATGCCACCTCCTCACTGCCTGTTGTAACCCTATAGATGCTGTGCTGCTGTGCCACAACCTCCTTTGTTGCATGCAGTTGCGTGTTTGTTGCAGCATGGTCCCATTCATTCAAGCAGGTCTCGTCCAGCAGCGGTTCTGCCAGCTGAACGTGATGGTGGAATCATTTTTGCTGTGACAGTGAAGCAAAACATCAGGAGCATGGAATCTTAACACCCCTGCCTTTAAAACTTAAAGCACGGGATGCGGTAAAAATGTATCTCAACCATGTGTTTTTACCCCCTACAATGCAGGTATAAACAAGCCCTTAGGCCGGCATAGCTTTGTTCTGAAAAGAAGGAGGAATGTTCACTTACTATAGAACTCTCTGATATTAAGTAAGAAGAATGGGACCAAATAAATACATAATTTTGTATTTTCTGATACTGGGATCATATCATGTGATCAGGTTAGATTAAAAAGAACTGTGTTTGGTTGGTCACATATTATCCAACACTATTGTGTTTTTTCCATTTTTAGATTACTAAACACAACTTAGACGATAATGCATGAGGACATCCAAATCAATGACCTATTCCCTAAAATGAAATAAAGAGATGAATATCCTGCTGTAAACTGAATAGCATATGGTTGCTGTTATCTATGTTGATTTTACCAATACAACACGTTACATTTCTTTCCGTGACTAATTGGATGAAATAACAATTACATGTATGTTTCAAACAAACAAAATCCATTACGGCTGCAAACTGTGCACAGCTATATGACACTCACACTTATTACATTGCCATTGAGGCCGCTGATGCAGCCTATACTAGTGACAGTAATGTACCCAATAATGCACCATGAGGTCCTTGAATGTGAACATTTCCAATTAAGCAGACATATGAATTAATACTGCCAGCTGATAAATAGCCACATAAGTTTAACAACAAGCCCTGTATGATATTATATGTTATGTCAATGCAGCTCTATGCAGAAATGATAAAACGCACATTAGTTTGGCTGGGTGCTGGCTGGTCTACAAATACTGGCCTGCATTCATGACATGCTGCTGTTGGAAGTAGTGCTGGGGGAAGTAGCTGGCTGATATACAAGAGCTGATTGAGTCCGACATAAAGGGGCTTTTGTCTGCAAGCAGTCACCACTGACCCCAGCTCAGCCTACAAGACCATAAGCAGAGGAGCCAGCATAGGCCATCCCTGTACAAGTCCCTTCAAGGCACATCAAGAGTGTTCACATTTTATATGGGACAACACAATCAGTGGAAAAAAAAATCCTTTTAAATACTGTATTTTTCATTCGGAAAGGGAAAGTGGCAGCTTTTTACTTGACGCTAATTATTCCTCCAAAGCCAATTATCGTGACAAGTTACACGTCTTTCCCCACTGCAGCTATAATGGTCCATTTTAATAATTTATGTATTTATATTTCTGCCAATTAAGACAGCCATCTGTACTCAGGTTAAATAGTCAGGCAAATTATTATGATCTTATTTATATCTGCTTTTCAAACAATCCAAAAATAATAAACTCTAATGTGTCATTTTGTCCAAGTGCATAAAACCACATTTCATTTATCCAATATTGCCGGATTAGCTAGAAAACAGTTGTGCATTAAAGAGGCATTCAATATACATTTTATATGGCGGATATCTTTTATCTCCCTATCAAGGGTAGAATGATCTGTGGCTGACTACTGGTGATGTATTCTAAGGATGGATCCCTTGTTTTAAATAGAAGGGTGTCTTGTATGTTTATAAATGGATATTGGGAAGTGAAGTGAATAGGCTCCTTTTACAGCAGAAACCTTATGACCTCCTGATTCTCACATCTGCTCTTCAGGAGCATGCTCGGGGAGAGGAGAGGACAGATGCCCATTGTTCGTGTTCTGTTCAGGGTCACTTACGTGCTTGTCATTAACTTTCCAGAAATAGAAGGCACCAATGGCTCCAAAGAGAAGCAGAAGAGCCCCTGAGATGAGCACCACGGCCCCGATTCGGAGGAGACGGCCATTGTTGGATGGCTTCATTGTCACTGCTGTGTATGCCTGGAGTCAGAGAGGACACAATCATCAAAAACTAGATGCCATACTAGTCTTACAATTTATCACAGCGTACATTATTAGTCAGCTATTACTTCTCAAAAATTGGATTGTTAGACCTACATACACTTACAGTCAACTATTACTTCTCAAAAATTGGATTGTTAGACCTACATACACTTATAGTCAACTATTACTTCTCAAAAATAGGATTATTAGACCTACATACACTTATAGTCAACTATTACTTCTCAGAAATTGGATTGTTAGACCTTCATACACTTATAGTCAACTATTACTTCTCAAAAATTGGATTGTTAGACCTACATACACTTATAGTCAACTATTACTTCTCAAAAATAGGATTATTAGACCTTCATACACTTATAGTCAACTATTACTTCTCAAAAATTGGATTGTTAGACCTACATACACTTATAGTCAACTATTACTTCCACAAATTGGATTGTTAGACCTACATACACTTACAGTCAACTATTACTTCTCAAAAATTGGATTGTTAGACCTACATACACTTATAGTCAACTATTCCTTCTCAAAAATAGGATTATTAGACCTTCATACACTTATAGTCAACTATTACTTCTCAAAAATTGGATTGTTAGACCTACATACACTTATAGTCAACTATTCCTTCTCAAAAATAGGATTACTAGACCTACATACACTTATAGTCAACTATCACTTCCCAGAAATTGGATTGTTAGACCTTCATACACTTATAGTCAACTATCACTTCCCAGAAATTGGATTGTTAGACCTACATACACTTACAGTCAACTATTACTTCTCATAAATTGGATTGTTATACCTTCATACACTTATAGTCAACTATTACTTCTCAAAAATGGGATTGTTAGACCTATATACACTTATAGTCAACTATTACTTCTCAAAAATGGGATTATTAGACCTACATACACTTTAAGTTAGGTTCACATCTATGCATGTGTGTTTGATGCGTTTTTCTGGCACATTTTTATGCCTTTTTTCATGCTTATGCGATTTGATTGTAGGAGGAGGAGACTAGTTGTTAAATACAAAACCCTACCAAAAACACACCAAAAATGCATGTCCGTGCATTTGTTATGCATTTTTAATGCAGTTCTATTGAAGTCTATGAAACCCAAAACGCATTGGGAGAGATTTACTAAAACTGAAGAGTGCAAAGTCTGGTGCAGCTCTGTGCAGAAAACCAATCAGCTTCCAGGTTTTATTGAAAAAATTTAATTGAACAAGCTGAAGTTAGAAGCTGATTGGCTACAGTTGCACCAGATTCTGAGTGCTCCAGATTTAGTAAATCTCCCTCCCATCATGTTGCATATAAAAAATGTCCCTTTACCTTTCCAAAAACTGCATAAATTTGAATAGTACCCCAAAAAAATAATGCTAAATGGATTGTGGTGTGTTTCTGCAGATCCGCAAATGCACTAAATAACGCACAGATGTGAACCTAGCTGGAGGGCCGGTTCACACCATGACACTAGAAATTCTTCTAATATGTGGTTACACCCCCTTTTACCACCTGATAGATAAATACACGGACAAGCTATTGAGATTTGAGCACAGGTATATATTGTTTGGTTCACACCATGAATCGCACAGGAATGCGCTGTGCCTTCTTGTGTGATTCACATGCGATCCGGGTACTGCAGCAAAAGTAGTGCATGCACTGCTTTATAAAATGCAGTGCAACTGGATGGCATTGCACTTCTGAACCATGCGATCCGGTGCAGGCAAACACATTGCGTTTGGGGTGTGGTTAGTATTACACTGACACCCCCAGCAGATCCCAGCAGTGCTGTGCATTTTGAACACGATGCACTCGGAAATGCAGGTTTTCGGGACCACATTCTGGTGTGAACTGGCATTTTAAGGATATCAACATCTAAAAACAAAAGTTGATAGTATTGCAACATACTGTCCTTAAATGTTGCATTAATTTTCTTTTTTACACCTTTTTTCCACCTTTCTTTTAACCTGGTAATCCTGCCATTAACACACTTCCTGGAATAGTAACAAATGTACTGAGCAGCATTGTCACCCTAGGACAGGATAGGAGCACAGTGGCTAAATGGTTAGCACTTCCGCCTGACAGTACTAGTGTCATTGGTTTGAATCCCAGCCATGGCACCTCCTGCCTGGTGTTTGCATTTTCTCCCTGTGCCTGTGTGGGTTTCCTCCAGGTATTCCTTCCACACTCCGCAGACATGCTGGTAGGTGAATTGGATCCTGTCTAAATTGTCCCTAGTATGTGTACATATGAATGTAGGTTAAGACTGATGTGAATGTACAATATATATGTAAAGTGTTGGGTAACTTGACAGTGCTACATAAGTCTTCTGGTGCAGCGAGACATGGTAGCCAATCAGTTTCTAATTTCAGCTTGTTCTGTTATCCCAGGTTCACACCCAAGCGTGATTTGCAGCATAGTCCATTTACCATGATTTCCTATGGGACAAGTTCACACTTCTGCATTTTGACCCAGTGTGGTTTTTTTTTTTGGAAAAGGGTCAGGGTCTTTTTTGAACGCAAAACGTTGCGTTTTTGGTTCTATAGACCTCAAGAAAAGTATGTATTGCTGCGTTTTTGCTGCATTTTGCATTTAAAATCTGCTGAGCAACAAGCAAAAAAAAGCCCCCCCCCTGCAAAATGCATCAAAAACACGGCAAAAATGCAAGTGCAAAAACGCAATGTAGAAACGCATCAAACGCAAGCTGCATAGGTGTGAACCTAGACATAAGCGTTTCAACTCTCCAGTTTTAGTAAATCAACCCCAATGCGTGTCAGGATTAAATGAAGAAGAGTGGGTGAAGCTGAACGTGCTCTTGTGAGATTTTCTTTTGTATCTTACTCCATGGTAGGACTACATAACACCTCCCTTTTGTCTCCATAACAGGGGGAGGTGTTTTGTAGTCCATTAAGCTAGCAGGGAACCATGCCAACTGATAACAGTCCAGAGGAAGAGAGCACAGATTTCTGGCTGGATGAACAGCTACGTTTATTTTTGCACTTATTGAACAGTTATATAATAAAATGCTTTCAATGGTGTATTTATCGGAGCAAATCAGAGAAATTGAATGCATCCTCTGTACTGGTCCTGATCACCAATGTAACTGGGAATTAAAATGAGGGGTACATCCACAATTTTGAGTGACCACAGCAGGAATCCAGGGAAATCTTCCAATGGGGACATTTGTTCCTGTGCCATACAGGTGACAATCTGATTGAATGGTTCTTTACAGCAAAACAGATCAGTTTCATCAAAATGATTCTGATTAGTCCAGATGGAAAATCCAAAGATAGGAAAGAAGATAGATTGATGATCGCTAAGTGTAGGTTATATAGAAAAATCTTTTTTTGATCTTCCAAACATTTTTCTCCCAGACAATAAATCAATCAATTGCACGCAAAATGTGAGGCCGCCATTTGCAGGAATCTCCCTCACAACTGAAGGATATCATAGCACTTCCTGTTGAGTCTACAGGACAGGAAGTGAAGGGAAATCTCCCTTATGAGACACAGGTGGCAAAAAATGTCAGCAGTTTTAACTGTCCCCTGCTCCATCCTAAATGAAAAAAAGTTTTGAATTTAACTATACCTAAAAATCACATTACTATTGGTGTACCAGATGCCTTCTTCTTGCCATGAAAAAAAACTGCTGCTTTGGAACCAAGGCAAAGATCACATGGACTGGCTATAAAATGCATTGTGGATGTTTCACATCATAAGAGACTGCAGCAGACAGTTTAAATGTGGCCACCCCCATGCAAACATATAATTACAATCTATACATAAAAATAATATTTTTTTAAAACAGCAATACCCAAAGATAAGATGATTTCAGCAATGGATTACAAACCATTTATGTATATGTAAGAGTGGTGAACACTAGTATTAACAAAACTTTAAAGAGCAAGTCACCTGTTCGGACTCTTCCTTTATCAGCCTACTGGACATACTGACAGTTGGGAACAAAATCAACACCAGCATAGAACCACTGGCCCTGAATGACTAGTCAGAGATCACTACTGGACCGACTTCTTGTACACAAAGGATCCTACAATCTTAGGGGTCACCATACACATTACAATCTGACCATACAATCTTTGCACAATTCACTTCAGATTTACCAAAACTATGTAATACAAAGCCCTACTTATTCTAACCAATCAATCTGTATCAATTTAGGCAGGCACTTGTTGGTAGATCTAAAGTTCCCCAAATGCTATGAAATCGGATTGTACAATCTCTTTTAGATCTTCCATCAACAATGCCATACAAGGGCCTGCCTGATTGGATAGATAAGGCGTGTCCTCATAGTGTACACTTTTGGTAAATCTAATGGTGGCCATACATGCCTCAATAACTGATTTTCCAGTCTTTTCCATACTGAATAATTGATCTGTAAACAACAACCCATTTGATCAATATGCCACACATGGGGAAGTGGATTTTGATCAATATGATCATATCTTATGATTGTAAGTAATCTATCAAATCTCTGTTTCCATCAAGTAATCTGATCGATCAAAATACAATTGTATTCATGAACTAAGTATCCCAGTGCTGCTGATTGATAACTGACCGTTTTCTGCCCTGGCTGATCGAAATTGAGTTTAAATTGATCAGAAGGGAAGTTATGGCTATTGTTTTCCTTGCAGATTTGATCAAATCGCAGGTCGATTGAATTAAAAAATGGATGTGTGTATGGCCACCATAAAGGAAATTGTACAATCATATTATTGATTAGAAAGGAAAATTAAGGCTATGAAATTTCTTGCAGATTTGACCAAATTGCAGATCAATGGCATTAAAAAACTGAGGCGTGTATGGCCATCATAAAAGAAACTGTATAATGAGAATTTTGATTGGAGGGGAAGTTATGGCTATTCAATTTCTTGCAGATTTGATCAAATCGCAGATCAACTGGATTAAAAAAAAACTGAAGCCTGTATGGCCACCGTAAAGGAAGTTGTATAATCAGGTTATTGATCGGGGGGGGGGGGAAAGTTATGGCTATTCAATGTCATGCAGATTTGATCAAATCGCAGATCAATTGGATTAAAAAAATGAAAGCGTGTATGGCCACCATAAAGGAAGTTGTGTAATCAGATTGTTGATTGGAAGGGAAGTTATGGCTATTCAATTTCTTGCAGCTTTGACCGAATTGCGGATCAATTGGATTAAAAAAAACTGAAGCGTGTACGGCCAATATAAAGGAAGTTGTATAATCAGATTATTGATCAGGAGGAATGTTATGGCTATTCAATTTCTTGTAGATTTGATCAAATCGCAGATCAATTGGAATAAAAAAAAACTTGAAGCGTGTACGGCCACCATAAAGGAAATTGTATAATCAAATTATTGATTGGAAGGGAAGTTATAGCTATTCAATTTCTTGCAGATTTGATCAAATTGCAGATCAATTGGAATAAAAAAAAACTGAAGCGTGTATGGGCACCTTAAAGGAAATTGTATAATCAGATTATTGATCAGGAGGAACGTTATGGCTATTCAATTTCTAGTAGATTTGATCAAATTGCAGATCAATTGGAATAAAAAAAAACTGAAACGTGTACGGCCACCATAAAGGAAATTGTATAATGAGATTATTGATTGGAAGAGAAGTTAAGGCTATTCAATTTCTTGCAGATTTGATCAAATCGCAGATCAATTGGATTAAAAAAATGACAGCGTGTACGGCCACCATAAAGGAAATTGTATAATCAGATTATTTATTGGGAGGAAAGTTATGGCTATTCAATTTCTTGCAGATTTGATCAAATCACAGATCAATTGGAATAAAAAAAAACTGAAGCGTGTATGGGCACCATAAAGGAGGTTGTATAATCAGATTATTGATTGGAAGGGAAGTTAAGGCTATTCAATTTCTTGCAGATTTGACCGAATTGCGGATCAATTGGATTAAAAAAATGAAAGCGTGTATGGGTACCATAAAGGAAGTTGTGTAATCAAATTGTTGATTGGAAGGGACGTTATGGCTATTCAATTTCTTGCAGCTTTGACCGAATTGCGGATCAATTGGATTACAAAAACTGAAGCGTGTACGGCCAATATAAAGGTAGTTGTATAATCAGATTATTTATCGGGAGGAAAGTTATGGCTATTCAATTTCTTGCAGATTTGAGCAAATCGCAGATCAATTGGACTAAAAAACTGAACAGTGTATGGGCACCATAAAAGAAATTGTATAAATAGGATTGTATGGAGATTGTACAGTCAAATTGTACAAAGTGTGTTGACCTTCAGAAAGATATTTTCATTATCTGCTTCCACAATTGTTCTACTATTCCTTACATTAAAATAGGAATAGACAAACTTTGGCTCATCACAGGTTGTAGAACCAGAAGTGTCAGCATGTAACAAGGAAGGCCAGCTGGGACTTGTAGTTCTCCATCATCTACAATCCTAACTTCGTCGGGAAGCCTCCAGCAGGAGGGAACCTGTGCTTACACATTTAGCGAGGTCTTGGCAGTACGCCTGCAAACTTACTTGTGGATTTTCAATTATATGACCATAATCATCGGGCACCATGGCATGTTTGTCACATTGTGATAATGCCGCTCACATTGTGCACGTCAGCACTGCCTGTTCCTATAGTAATAAGAGCAGTGTGCCGCACTAATCTCCAGCTTTGCAGGTATGCAGGGAAATGATCTAATTAACCTTTTTCGGGAAGTAAACAAAAATCAAACACCTTCCAAAATCCCGTGTCTCCTCTGCTTAATCCCCATCCCTCTGTACCTATGGGAGACGGGAATTACAGCATCATCCATTCTCCAATATAATCCCATAGAAGTCTAGATTTTATTCCTCTCACTGCTGCTGGCTTCATGTTCTAGATAAGGTGCGACCTACAGAGCCTGGCACTCCCGACCACTGTGCCAATCCACCCTGCTGAGACATGTAGTTCCACACTGCTCTGATCTATGCTGGGAAACAGACAGAGAATATTGTTGACAATAACAAAGACAACGCTGTTCTACATAGAAAAGTAGAAACAGAGAATATTTTATGATATCATAGGTAATATAGATCTGGCTTTGCAGCCACAGTTTGCACACATCAACAGCCAAGTACACAGACAAACTCCAAGTGGATGTTAATGTCCTCTAAGCATTATTCTCCCATAGGACAGACAGGGCTAAAAGTTTTCAGGCTGGCAGTGTAGGTTGGTACTCACTGGGGGAAGGCACTGCTCCACATCTTCAGGTCCAGCTAGGGCTATAGGAACTTTTTCCGAACTCTCTGCCATTGTGTAGTGCAGGTCCCAGTCTGATCCCCCCAGATGGAGCTCAGAGATCTGTGCTGGACAGGAGAGGATCATGTGACTCCCCCTGTCAATCACCCTGCCACCTGCCCACCTCCTCCCCCCTCCTCAGGGTGCACAGCATGGGGGCCATTCCTCCCTCCTCCCTCTGTGGTCAGCTGGATTCCACCTCAGCTCAGGAATGTTTCTTGTACACATACAGCTCCATTATGACTTCCAGACTCGGAATGTTCCTCCCCACTACTGGAGGTTCAGGTGTTGTCAGGGAAGGAGACAGCAGTGCTATTCATTCCCAGGGTGCTGCCCCTTCTCTCATGTCTGGATGCATCCTACATCATTGCCTGGCTCACATAAAGTCACATTTGCAAAGTATATTAAGTCATATTAAAATTGGCTTTTTTTTTTATCTTACAATAAAAAAAGGTTGTTATACTTACCTACCCTGTGCAGCTATATTGCACAGAGCCAGCCCTTACCTCCTCTTTGGCAGTCTCTGTCCACTCCTTCCTTCTCCCGGGTGCTAAGGGGATACCTGTGCATGCTCACTCTGGAGCCGGGCTGTGTGCATCCATAGACACACACTGTGCAGGTAAGCCACACCTCTGCTTCTTAACAGAATTTGTGAGCCTATGGCCCTGCTGCTCTCAGTGTCTCCAGTTGTGACAGGAGCAGGGGCGGACTGACCATTTGGAAACTCGGGCACTGCCCAAAGGCCCGGGGTCAGTAGGGGGCCCCATGAGATGCCCCTGGTACCTTTTTCATAGGCTTTTTTGAGTTTGGGCAAGGACACAGGGGCCCCATGATCCCCTATTGCCTGGGGGCCCCATGAGTTGTCAGTCCGCCCCTGGACAGGAGTCAGGTAAGTGTTTATGGAGAAAGTTGTGTGTGTAGGACAGGTAATGAGGTGTTAGCCACTTGCCCTCCAGAGGATTTACCCCCCTTCATGACCAGGCCATTTTTTGCATTATGGCGCTGTGTTATTTTAACTGACAATTGTGCGGTCATGCCACACTGCACCCAAATAAAATGTATGTCCTATCTTTCCCCACAGATTGAGCTTTCTTTTGATGGCCTGTGCGGTTTTTATTTTTTTGCGTTATGACCAACAATTTTGAGAAAAAAACAATGTTTTTTAATTTTTGCTATTAACTGGTTTCCAACCGCGCTATCCATGGACATTATTCCAGGACACGCTGCCCTGCGCACCCCCCTACTACAGACACAGCTGATCACATGGTATGGTAAACGGCCAATCACGGCAGCTTTTTACCACGTGATCAGCTGTGTCCAATGATACAGCGTTCATCGGGTAAATACAGTTGCTGGTTCTCAGCTGCACTTTCCTCACACTGTCACAGCGTGAGGAAAGTACTGCCGACAACCAGCAATTGTCAGCGAAGGGATCGGCACAGATCATCAGGGTACAGATGATCAGTGACCTGATGATCAATGCCCAGCAGTGCCGCCACCTGTGCCACCCACCTGTGTCCATCAGTGCTGCCCTCCTGTACCCATCAGTGCCAACCACCTCCATCAGCGCCACCCACCTGTGCCCATCAATGCCACCCACCTCTATCAGTGCCACCCACCTCCTTTAGTGCCACGCACCTGTGCCCTGTAGTGCCACCCACCTGTGCCCATCAGTGCCACTCACCTATGCCACTCAGCAGTGCCACCCACCAGTGCCACTCACCTGTTCCACTCAGCAGTGCCACCCACCTGTGCACAGCAGCTCCACCCATCAGTGCTGCCCAGCAGTGTCGGCTATCAGTGCAGCATCATCAGTGCCAGCTCATCAGTGCCTCCCATCAGTGCTGCCTATCCGTGCAACCTCATCAGTGCCCATCAGTGCTGCCTATCCCTGCCCATCAGTGCTGCCTATGAGTGCCCATCAGTGCAGCCTATCAGTGCAGCCTCATCAACGCACATCAGTGAAGGAGAAAAATTACCTGTTTGCAAAATTTTATAATAGATACAAAGAAAAACTTTCTTTTCCAAATTTTTTTGCTCTTTGTTGTTTATAGAGCAAAAAATCAAACACCCAGTGGTGATTAAATACCACCAAAAGAAAGCTCTATCAGTGTGAAAAAATGTCAAAAATTTCATATAAGTACAGTGTTGCATGACCGCGCAATTGTTATTCAAAGTTTGACAGCACTGAAAGCTAAACATTGGCCTGGGCAGGAAGGGGGTATAAGTGCCCAATAGGCAAGTGGTTAAACACGTCCAGTAAAAAAATTTTAAAAATCAAATTTAGTCACAAATGTATGCTAAATTGTAGTTTGTGACATGTCCAAATACCCAATACGTGTAAATGAATTGGTTCATGTGAAAGTTATAGCGTTTACAAATGGCGGTATATATACTGGAATTTTTTATTTTATTTTTACTAGTTAGGGCGGCGATCAGTGACTTATAGAAGGACTGTGGGACTGCGACGGACATTCTGACACTGGGGATAACTGATTTGATGTCACTGACATCCCCAGTGACACCAATACAGTGATCAGTGCTCAAAAAAAGCACTGACACTGTACTAATGGCACTGGGTAGGAAGGGGTTAACATGAGGGGCGATCAAAGGGTTAACTGTGTGCTGGGTATGTTTTGCTAGGGGGCTGTGTCAGTGTACTTCACTGTAATCACACTGCTTTGGATGGCTGTGCACAGCCATCCAAAGCAGTGTGTCTGAGCTAACAGGGAGGAGAACTGTTAGTAAACAAAACAGTTATCCTCCCCATTGGAGATCCTCGGAAATCACCGGGCGCCGGTGAGTAATCACTGTCCAGAACCCAGTGATTGACAGCCGCGGCCGCACATGGCGGCATGGGTAGGGAGCACACAAGGCTCGCGCACGCCGCCTACCCAGAAATGCCCGGTATATATACGTGATTTTGTGCACCCGTGCTGCCCTGTAGCAGTATTTCTGCTATAGGGCAGTTGGGAAGCAGTTAAAGTGGTTGTAAAGGTCAGACATGAAATATAAACAAAGCATATCCCTCTATAGTGTGTACTTGTCTGTGTTAAGAGCACTAAGTGTCATTTCTGTCCGCTATTTTGTTCCTCTGCTATCAGCAGGAATCACTTCTGTCAAGTTTTCCTGACACCAAGAGACAAATATTGACAGGGGAGGGAACTCCAGCTGATTGACAGCCTCAGCTCTGTTCCTGTGAGCTGTGTGAGGTGGGGTGTGTCCCTTCCCTCCAATCAGCTCGCAGAGCTCTCCTCATTGAGCTCTGCAGAATGTAATTTCAGCTCTCTGTTCCCTCTTTTCCAAATTTTCAGACAAGCTGTATGAATTCAGCACTTTGATCAGATGTAGAGAAGAGAAAACTGCAGATAAACGGATACACCTTATGTAGGAGGATTGTTTACATCTCTGTGTATCACTTCACTGAATGTATGTAAGTGCTTACAACTACTTTAAATGGGAAGACAAGCAAAGAGTTTGTCTCATCTATCCACCTGGATATCTGGTCTAGTCCAAAAACCTCTCTGCATTCATGATTCCACACCAATCAGCTTCCAGGTTTTATTGCAAAGCTGAATCGAACAAGCTGAAGTTAAATGCTGATCACAGCCAGTACCGAGTGTTTCCAGTGTTGCTGATCACAGCCAGTATCGAGTGTTTCCAGTGTTGCTGATCACAGCCAACGAGTGTTTCTAGTGTTGCTGATCACAGCCAGTACCGAGTGTTTCCAGTGTTGCTGATCACAGCCAGCACCGAGTGTTTCCAGTGTTGCTGTGTTTCCAGTGTTGATGATCACAGCCAGTACCGAGTGTTTCCAGTGTTGCTGATTACAGCCAGTATCGAGTGTTTCCAGTGTTGCTGATCAGAGCCAGTACCGAGTGTTTCCAGTGTTGCTGATTACAGCCAGTACCGAGTGTTTCCAGTGTTGCTGATCACAGCCAGTAACAAGTGTTTCCAGTGTTGCTGCTCACACCGTCAGTGTTGCTGATCACAGTGTTTCCAGTGTTGCTGCTCACAGCCAGAACCGAGTGTTTCCAGTGTTGCTGATCACAGCTAGCACCGAGTGTTTCCAGTGTTGCTGATCACAGCCAGTACCGAGTGTTTCCAGTGTTGCTGATCACAGCCAGTACCGAGTGTTTCCAGTGTTGCTGATCACAGCCAACGAGTGTTTCTAGTGTTGCTGATCACAGCCAGTACCGAGTGTTTCCAGTGTTGCTGATCACAGCCAGCACCGAGTGTTTCCAGTGTTGCTGTGTTTTCCAGTGTTGCTGATCACAGCCAGTACCGAGTGTTTCCAGTGTTGCTGATTACAGCCAGTATCGAGTGTTTCCAGTGTTGCTGATCACAGCCAGTACCGAGTGTTTCCAGTGTTGCTGATTACAGCCAGTACCGAGTGTTTCCAGTGTTGCTGATCACAGCCAGTAACAAGTGTTTCCAGTGTTGCTGCTCACAGTCAGTATCAAGTGTTTCCAGTGTTGCTGCTCATAGCCGGCACCGAGTGTTTCCAGTGTTGCTGATCACAGCCAGTACCGAGTGTTTCCAGTGTTGCTGCTCACAGCCAGAACCGAGTGTTTCCAGTGTTGCTGATCACAGCTAGCACCGAGTGTTTCCAGTGTTGCTGATCACAGCCAGTACCGAGTGTTTCCAGTGTTGCTGATCACAGCCAGTACCGAGTGTTTTCCAGTGTTGCTGATCACAGCCAGTACCGATTTATTCCTGTGTTGCTGATCACAGCCATTACCGAGTGTTTCCAGTGTTGCTGATCACAGCCAGTACTGAGTGTTTCCAGTGTTGCTGTGTTTCCAGTGTTGCTGATTACAGCCAGTACCAAGTGTATCTAGTGTTGCTGATCACAGCGAGTACCAGTGTTTTTAGTGCTACTGATCACACAGCCAGTTCCATTCTTGTTGATCACAGCTAGTACCAGTGTTTCCACTGTGGCTGATCACAGCCAGTACCAGTGTTTCCAGTGTTGCTGACCACAGCCAGTACCAGTGTTTTCAGTGTTGCTGATCACAACCAGTACCTGTGTTTCCAGTGTTGCTGATTACAGCCAGTACCAATGTTTTCAGTGTTGCTGATCACAGCCAGTTCTATTGTTGCTGACCACAGCTAGTACCAGTATTTTCAGTGTTGCTGATCACAGTCAGTACCGAGTGTTTCCAGTGTTGCTGATCACAGCCAGTACCGAGTGTTTCCAGTGTTGCTGATCACAGCCAGTATCGAGTGTTTACAGTGTTGCTGCTCACTGCCAGTACCGAGTGTTTCAAGTGTTGCTGCTGTTGGCTGTAATCAGCAACACTGGAAACACAGCAACACTGGAAACACTCGGTACTGGCTGTGATCAGCAACACTGGAAACACTTGGTACTGGTTGTGATCAGCCAGTGTTTTCAGTGCTACTGATCACAGCCAGTTCCATTCTTGCTGATCACAGCTAGTACCAGTGTTTCCAGTGTTGCTGATCACAGCCAGTACCAGTGTTTCCAGTGATACTGATTAAAGCCAGTACCGAGTATTTTCAGTGTTGCTGATCATGGCCAGTACCATTGTTTCCAGTGTGGCTGATTACATGATTACAGCCAGTACCAGTGTTTGCAGTGTTGCTGATTACAGCCAGTACCCGTGTTTCCAGTATTGCTGATCACAGCCAGTACCAGTGTTTCCAGTGTTGCTGACCACAGCCAGTACCATTGTTTCCAGTGTTGCTGATCACAGCCAGTACCATTGTTTCCAGTGTTGCTGAACACAGCTAGTACCAGTGTTTCTATTGTTGCTGATTACAGCCAGTGACAGTGTTTCCAGTGTTGCTGATCACAACCAGTACCAGTGTTTCCAGTGTTGCTGATTACAGCCAGTACCAGCGTTTTCAGTGCTGCTGATCATAGCCAGTTCCATTGTTGCTGATCACAGCTAGTACCAGTGTTTTCAGTGTTGCTGATCACAGCCAGTACCAGTGTTTTCAGTGTTGCTGATTATAGCCGGTACCATTGTTTCCAGTGTTGCTAATTATAGCCAGTACCAATGTTTCCAGTGTTGCTGATCACAGCCAGTACCAGTGTTTCCAGTGTTTATGATCACAACCAGTACCAGTGTTTCCAGTGTTGCTGATCACAGCCAGTACTACTGTTTTCAGCTTTGATTATCACAGCCAGTACCAGTGTTTTCAGTTTTGATGATCACAGCCAGTACCAGTGTTTTCAGTGTTGCTGATCTCAACCAGTGCCAGTGTTGCTAATTACAGCCAGTACCAGTGTTTTCAGTGCTGCTGATCACAGCCAGTTCCATTGTTGCTGATCAGAGCCAGTATCAGTGTTTCCAGTGTTACTGATTAAAGCCAGTACCGAGTATTTTCAGTGTTGTTGATCACAGTCAGTACCATTGTTTCCATTGTGGCTGATTACAGCCAGTACCAGTGTTTCCAGTGTTGCAGATCACAGCCAGTACCAGTGTTTCCAATCACAGCCAGTACCATTGTTTCCAGTGTTGCTGATCACAGCCAGTACCATTGTTTCCAGTGTTGCTGAACACAGCTAGTACCAGTGTTTCTATTTTTGCTGATTACAGCCAGTGATGGTGTTTCCAGTGTTGCTGATCACAGCTAGTACCAGAGTTTCCAGTGTTGCTGACCACAGTCAGTCCCAGTGTTTCCAGTGTTGCTGACCACAGTCAGTCCCAGTGTTGCTGATCACAGCCAGCACCAGTGTTTTCAGTGCTGCTGATCACAGCCAGTACCAGTGTTTCTATCGTTGTTGATTACTGTCAGTGCCAGTGTTTTTAGTGTTACTAATTATAGCCAGTACCAGTGTTTCCAGTGTTTCTGATCACAGCCAGTCCCAGTGTTTCCAGTGTTGCTGATCACAGCCAGTACCAGTGTTTTCAGCTTTGCTGATCACAGCCAGTACTAGTGTTTTCAGTGTTG